ATGGCCATGGAAGATTCTCCCGCCAAAACCACCGCAGAAGAAGAGCGAGCAGAGGAAGATAATCCAGCCAAAGCAACTGATGAAGAAGATGTGCGAACAGAGAAAGATGATCCGAATATGGGATCTTCCTCAGGCTTTTCGAATCAAGATCCATTTAACTCGTTGGGAACTTCCAGGGGCTTTCGTCATGTAAGCGACAATTTTTTTTTTGATGATTATTATCATAAGGAAACCAAAGAACAGGCGACTAATGCAAATCCAGAGCATCGTGTTGTTGTCGGGCAAGATTCTTCTTCTTCAAATGTCTCTGGTTTCGCTGCTTATTAACGTAGCAAGCAAGAAAACAGAGTCTGATACTGAAGAGGGCGAGATAAAGAGCGATGGTGAAAACGTGCCTCTTACGGTAGGATGAAAAAAGTTAAAAATCTCAAATATTTTCTTTCTTTCTAGCTTGGTTCATTTGGAAAGTAATTAAAGAATGTTATCTTGGCAGGATATTGATGAAGAGAAATTTGATTATGCATCATCAGAAGGGTATGAGTTCTCAGACAAAGAAAAAGAAGCTGAGTATAAACGAGCCGGAAAGAGGAAGATGACAAGTGGAGAAGGAACCAGTAAGGAGAGGAAGAAGAGACGGTGTGATCAAAACAGGGCTTTGAGAAGAAATCCTTCTTCTCACTCCCAAATGGCACAACATTATCATCCTCAGCCTCTGTATCAGAATCCAATGCTTGGTGGACAAGGATCAACGATGTTTCCAGGTCCCAACTATTATGGTATGCAGCAGCAACCTTCTTTCAATCCAACAGGTCCAATTACATGCCTTAGCCTCCCAATTCAACCTCTGATGATGATGCACCAGCAGCAGCAATTTCCACCAGGTGGACCGTATGGATCATTTGTTTTTAGTCAGAATTTCAATCCCCCGACGCGTCCAACACAGTCTCAGCAGGGGTTTACCCGCGGAAGAGATCAGGACTTTGGTAGAGGCAGAGGAAGAGATCAGGACTATGGTAGAGGTGGGCACTAGAAATAAGACCAAACCAGTGGGAAATTTTGCTAAACCAAAATAAAGAAACTCGATTTTATAATGTTGTAGAGGTTTTCCACTGGTTTGGTTCGTTCGATTCTGATTTAAAATTTACTGAAGCAAATCTGATCTGGACGTTGTTGCACTTCTGATGGTCGGAGAGACGCCGTAAAAATCTATTGAGTTTGCTTAGATCTAGCTGAACAGAGGGTCCGAGTGATATGTTTGAGGGAACATCATATGATATTTTGTGTTTTTTTCTCACTAGTTAAAATCAAGTCTAAAGATTTGGAAGGCTCAAAATCGTAATACACTACTGACACAAGTTTGAATTCCGCAAAATACATTAATATTCAAATCGGAACAAAAAGTCTCTTCAACTTTGTAAGGAAAAAATCATCATAGGTAATAAAATGTTTTTGCAGAGTTCGTCACAATTACATGCCCATGCCGGACATATCAGGGACACGGTTTGGAGTTTCCTCGTCTGCCTTCACAAGCACTGATGCCTCTGTTGTTGTCAATAGCAAAGAAACGCTGCGTTTTGAACGCGAGATTATGAGTTAGTTTAGTAGTTCCACAGAAGCAAAAAACGGTTTTAAGTTTTGGAGGATGTTCTTTACCTAGCTGCATCGGTTAAGGCGGTTTTGATAACCTTGACCGGATCTATGATTCCAGCTTTCACCATATCCACATATGTACCTATTATTGTACACCACGAAACAATTAGAGATTGATGATGTTTGTGTGTTGTGATGTTCTTAAAGACACTACTAATAATCTCTCTCTCACCTTTGGCAGCATCGAAACCGAAATTGCAGTCGTCTTGCTCTAGTAACTTGCCAACCACTAGAGAACCATCGTAACCCGCATTTGCAGCTATTGTTAATGCAGGAGCCTACACAAGATTCACAGCTTCTTGTTACAGTTTATTGTTTTGGCCATCAACGAGATCTCTAAGAGATTTTCATTAAAAGTACTTGCCTTGAGAGCATTCTGAACAATCTGAACACCTCTTCTTTGATCCTCGTTTTGAGTTTGAAGGTTGTCTAAAGCCTTTGTAGCGTATAATAGAGCCACACCACCACCTATTTGACAATTCCCCACCCATTAAGGCACATGATGAAAAAATCATGAGGAAATAGAGAGAACAAGAAAGCATAATATTTACTTACCAGGTATGATGCCTTCTTCTACGGCTGCTCTTGTAGCATTTAAAGCATCAGTGACTCTGTCTTTTCTTTCTCCGACTTCAGCTTCACTTGCTCCTCCCACCTAAATAAGAACCAGGCATGTATCAGCTCCTTTGGCATGTAAGAGTTTAAAAAGACTTGACTGATGGGTGACTGACTAACCTTGAAGACTGCAACACCACCTGATAGTTTTGAGAGTCTTTCTTGTGTTTTCTCTTTATCAAAAGTGGAAGTGCTCTTTTCGTTCGCTGACCTTAACTATAGAGCACAAGAATAAAAATGATTTCTTTTAATGTATTCTAACGAGCAAGATTCATGAAAGAGATAGTGTACGAAATCATCATATACCTCTTCACATCTTTCTTCGATCAGCTTCTTATCGCCACCACCATGCAGGATTAAAGTGTCATCACGAGAGATGGTGACCTTTTTCAAAGAATTTGTATTAGATTTGAATCTTGGAAAAAAACCACAAGCAGAAACCAAATATATTTCTTTCCTCTTACCTTCTTCGCAGTTCCAAGCAATTCAGGACGGATTTTGTCTAGTGTAAGACCACGCTCCTCAGAGATAACCTGTGTTTAAACCAGTGAATTAGAAAATTAAAGATGTGAGACAAAATAACCGCATGTTGCTTTTAAGAAATTATCATACCTCTGCACCAGTAAGAACTGCAAGATCATCTAAGCTTGCTTTCCTGTTGTCACCGTAACCCGGAGCCTTGATAGCGCATACCTTAAGCCCAGCATGATGCTTATTGAGGATAAGCATAGCTAATGCATCACTCTCTACATCTTCTGCTACAACAAGAAGTGGTCTGCTGCTCTGCACAACCACAAGAGAAAGAAGTGAGTGGCTTTTCTTAGAGCTAAGTCATTCAAACCGGACATGATAACATAGCATTGCAAATAATTATGGGAAGGCTTACTTTCACAGCCGCTTCTAGAACTTTCAATAACGAGTTCATGTCAGAAACCTTCTTCTCATGAATGAGGATGATGGGATTCTCAAGCTCCTGGAAAAAACAACGCGTATTTAGTTCAATACCCTTTCTTTCCATTCGCTTTTTGGGTGAAACGTATAACTTCGCATTATACCAAACAGAGAGATATGAACTTACGCATTTCTGAGTCTTCTCATCTGTGATAAAATAAGGAGAAATGTAACCTCTGGCTAGCTTCATTCCTTCCACTACTTCTAGCTCGTTCTCTAAAGTGTTCCCATCCTGCGTATTTTAAGAACAATAATGAGATATAGCGATCAGTCAATCATCATCTGATCCAATTACGAGGCATGAGAAGAGAAGTAAGCTTACAGCAACGGTGATAACCCCTTCCTTTCCAACTTTCTCCATGGCTCTTGCAATTAATTCCCCAATCTCACGCTCTCCGTTTGCAGATATAGTAGCAACCTATCAAAAGGAATATACGCAATATCAGTGATCAATCAATGATTGATTTAGCATTCACAAATCCTGAGTTACTGAATCTGTTTCTAAAAATCACCTGTGTGATCTCTTCTGGGGTGCTAATCATAACAGCTCTGCTTTTCAAATCTGATACAACTGCATCAATTGCCATATTTATGCCACTACGCAAATCCATCACATTTACACCAGCAGCAACTGACTTGCAACCTTCGATGAGTATCGCCTGAGTCAACACAGTCGCACAAGTGGTACCTATAAAACAAACAGATATTAACATTACGATATTATCTCTGCAGCGTGATTTCATAATAGTAAAAACTCATCCTGGACTTCGAACTCAAAGAGGGACTTTAGTCATTTACCATCTCCAGCAACCTTGTTAGTGGCGTTTGCAACCTGTTTCACGAGCTCTGCACCAATATTCTTAGCTTTTGCTTTAAATGAAATGCTTTTTGCAACGGTGACACCATCCTTTGTGATCTTTGGTCCGCCATAACTGTTCTCAATGATCACATTTCTCCCCTAACACCACCGAGACAAATAAAGATACTGAATTTGAAAGAACAACCTGCACCGCATTGATCTTAGCCTTCTGAGAACAAAAAAAAAACATATACCTTTGGTCCCATTGTCACCTTTACAGCTTCTGCAACCTCGGAAACACCTTGCAACATAGCTGCTCGAGCCCCAACTCCGAAACTGATATCTTTAGCCACATAATTTCTGCTGCTTATAATCCTTCCAGCAATCTATATAGTAAGAGAGAACACCAAAAGAAAATCAAATTCGGACTTAAAGTAATTTCATAAAGGTTCGGACAACTGAATCTAGTTATTCGGGAGCTAGGAGATCTTCTACAGCAATCGGAAGCGATTAAAGCAGAGAAATTCTGCAAATTCGGAAGCTCAAGCTGGAAACTTTTTGATAAAAAAACCCATGATTTTGTTTCCTTGCATCACTGATGCAACTTATCTGGACTTATAGTTTGATTTGTAATTTGACACATTTCTATTACCAACAAGAATGCCCAATTTCGTTATGCCCAATAAGTTTGATCAAATTCGTAAGAAGACACATAGAGTTCACGAAGACTCACCAGTTTCCTGGAAGTAGATGAGCTGCAGGAAAATCAAACCCAGAAATAAGAAGAAGAAAAGCTTAACCCGTCAGTACAAATTGATCGAGGGTATTGAAAGTTTATATAATCTCACTGAATGAAAGAAAGAAACATACCCAATTGAAGAAGATAACTTTGACAACACTCGGTACATTTCCGCTTGCAATGAACTAGAGAAAGAGATAGAGAGGCTTCAAGGGTTTAGGGTTTTTCTGGGGTTTATACTATGACGATCAATGAATCTGCTTAACCAAAGACCGAAACGAAAAGCAAAAAAGTCTGGAACTTTCTGTCTAAGCTTTTTGCAACTTCAAAATTAGGTTTTTAGTTCTTCCATTTACCTTAGGCCCATTTTACTTATCCAGTGGCCCAAAAATCCTCGTTTTTCTTACAATGTCGATAAAAATATCATGGAAGAAAATATTTCAAATTGAAAAATGAATTTGATAAATTAAATGAGAACCCGAAATTCCCTTAAAATCAACAAACCAATCTTTAGTTTCACAGAACCAAAAAAACCGGTTTTTCTTCAAGGAAACATTCTTTTCATCATCAGATACAATAAACCACATCACTACATAACTGGCAAACAAATCATGAGTTTTTTTGTTTGTCTGCATCATAATCTTTGTCTAGGAACATACAAGACCACTTTGGCACCTGCCAAGAGGAACCAATGCCTTCGGAGACATAAAACGTATGGCTCTCGGTGAATCCCTCTGATCAACACCAAAAATGAGAGCTACCCTTTTGAGAGGGTAACCAATTTTAAGTTTCTAGGTTCGTGGGCTTAGCACAACAGCTTTTACTTTGTCTAGTTCTTCGTTCTATGAACTTGTATCAATGGGAACGGTTTTCGCTGGAGACGAACCAGAGCTGCTGCTGCTGCTTTCTCCATTGGTTGTAACCTCGGATTGAGCCGAGGAGTTTGTTGTTTGGTGGCTATTTGTGGATGGCGCTTGTCCTTCTTCCGCGAGCTTTCTGAGTAGGTTCATGACTGTTGGAAGGAATTTGGTCGACAAGGAAAGAAGTCCAGGTAGCTGTTGTTGATCACAGATCAAACATTGGCATTTCAGAGAGGTTATAATTGAGATCAAATGAAGAACAGGGGAAAAGGTGGAAACAAGGATGATTGAAAACTTGCACATACCGCGCCATTGCGGAATTCTCCTGATATATTTAATTGCACCCACAAGGCTTTGGAAACAAGGTATCCGACAAAAAGAACAAGGAGCCATAAAGGATTTCTGCAACGAGAGAT